ACACACACACACACACACACACACACACACACACACACACACACACACACACACACACACACACACACACACACACACACACACACACAGAGCAGTTCAGTTCAGTTCAGTTCAGTTGATTGTAGTTAGCTGTGTGTTATTTCCTGAAATAAACAACTCTTGCATTGCAGTTACTACTTATAGAATAATAGAAATGTGCAAACTTGTATTTCTACTGCAGATTTATTTTTGCAGGTTTACAAAACCTTAATTACAACAAAAAACGTTTTAGAAAATGACGTCAACATCACTTTACAAGTTCAAATTCTTAATTGACCTGAATTTGATCCCATACATTTGCATAGGGCCATATATGGTGCAAACAAGTGACACAGAACTCAAACATCTGAATCCTGCAAAGTTAACCTGGATTAAATAACCATAGATAGAAATTAACTCTCCGACAAGGATGTTATGTTTTATCTTTGCATTAGTTAACTGGGCATCATTTTCACTTTCTTTAACATTTTTCTTTAACATTTTTCTGGGAAATCATTGTTCATTGATTTCCCAGAAAACAATTAATGAATCTTGAAGAATAAGATCCAGAATTTTTAGGGGACTGATGGTAAACTAATTTAACCTCTGTCCTGAACTCAACTTTACTTGTTTGTCAAGTCAGATTTGTCTTGGCACATGGCAAAATGTGCAAACCTACATTTGTTCATTTCAGAAAGTTGTGCAACCTGTCACAGGTTCCTTTTTAAAAACACAAATCAAGAGTAGACTTCCAGGATCCATAAACTATAAACATCTTACCACTTGGCTTTGACCTTTGATCAAAACTTGGAGGCACACACCTCAATGTAGATATTACAGTCAACAGGAGTGAACCAGAGAGGCAAACAAGCATTGTATTCAGAGGGTGCCAGAAACAAATCTATTATGTCATCAAAGGAACACTTAATAGGCTTATTAGGAAATGTTGCAATGTTTGCATTTCCCTCTATTTCTAACAGGGGTCAGCAGGATTGTTTTTTTCTCCTTAATGCACTAACCATTAAAGTTATTGTCATATTGATATTTTCCAACAGATGGATCAGATACCTCGACCAACAATCTTTGAATTCCATGGAGTCTTCATGTCCAAATACTTCACTGAAAACTGGGACAACGTACAAAGCTTCGTAGCGAGACCAGATGATATTCTCATAGCTACTTATCCTAAAGCAGGTGGGGTTGTGTGTTTGACAGCGCAGCACTTGAGGCGTCACAGTTATACCCATGAATCCATTATTTTATGTCGATGAATGCCCAGAACAGGCCTCTCAACAGTATGTTTGCATATGTGTTTTAATTCCAGGGACCACGTGGGTCTCTTATATCCTTGATCTGCTGCATTTTGAGCAGGTGTGTCCCGAGCGTATGGCATCCATCCCCATTCATGAGAGAGTGCCCTTCCTGGAGATCAGTGCACCGTTTCATACTAAAGGTTGAATCATGTGCTCACAATCACATTTATGTAACATTGTAAAACAATAATGTCTGCATATAAATTTGAATTGTCACTTATTGCCATAATGACAGGATTTTTATTGTGTCTTATATTTTTGTGGACACATTTTCATAACCTTTGTGATGCACAAAACAAATGTTACACCCCTGTTCGAACTAGTAAATGATATGATTTGATATTGAAACTGGGCATGAGTGTGGCATGTTGACTCTATAGCACCTCCTTATTCCTTCTTCTGGCTGTAGGGGTGCTTGGAATCTCATGAAAACTCTGCTTTTGCATCAGAAGTGACTAAACTTCATACCTGATAAAGGTCTAGAGTGAGATAAAATACTGTGTATGTACAATATACAAATACAGTATATGAGCTCAGACAGTCAGAGAGATGCAAACAGTTAAAGCTTTAGCTACTTTCAATTAAAATGGTGTTGTTTAGTGTGGTTCCACAACAGTTTACACTGCATCCTCAGTTTTGATCACACACACTCCATGACATATGTACTAGGTATTGACACATTTACTCAGACAAATATATGTACTTGTAAGACCTTCTATTGCTTGATGATCATGTGTCAATATCACCAGTTTTAATTGTGTAAATTCATAAGGCCATCTAAAATGTCCATAAAGCACCTGACAACAGTTTTAGTGTTGAAATCATGTTGTTCTCTGGTATTTAAACAAGTCTAATTGTGCATTAATCAGTCACAGACAAATCCTTCTCTTCATAAAGGCAAAGACCTGGCGGACCAACTTCCCACCACTCCTCGTCTAATTAAAACTCATCTACCAATCCAGTTTGTACCAAAGTCCTTCTTGGAGCAGAACTGCAGGGTAAAGCCCTGAGAGATTGATCATTTATGGAACGAACTTTGTGTCCTATTTATATTTATATTTTCTATTTGACTCTCTCTGCAGATTATCTACGTTGCTCGTAATGCAAAGGATTCAGCAGTGTCCTATTTTCACTTTGGCCGCATGAACTGCATCCAGCCAGATCCAGTTGACTGGAGCACCTTCTTGCAGGATTTCAAGGAGGGAAAGAGTGAGTTCAAATTAGTGTTCATATAAATGGAGTCTCAAGTTCCCCCATTTCCTTTCTAAATGTTCCTTCATGTATTGTCGTGTGGCTTTAGCGGTGTTTGGATCTTGGTATGACCACGTGACCGGCTGGTGGGAGAAGAAAAAGTCATATTCCAATATTCACTACATGTTCTATGAGGACCTGGCTGAGGTAAGCTGAGGGTTGTTTGTGTCTGTGCTTTCAAATGAATGGTGGGCGAAGATCTGCTCCTACCCATCATCAGAGGCAGGGTAGGGGTGAGCAGGAGAGCAGGGAGAGGTTGGGAGTCAGGTGATGGAGATGGGGAGGAGACTCTAGGATATGTAGTGGATGGATGAAGAGGAGCAGGACCTGCTATCTATCTATAACTAGTACAGTCAGTAAAATGCTTTTTTAGCCAGCATCATATATGGCTTCACATCTTACTCTCAGCAAGAAAGCAAGTGAGCATAATACAGCAGTAGTAAGAAGTTGAATTCAATTTTGTGCTCAATAAAATGTTCACAATAAAATGCCTTTAAAAGATTCTGGGAAATGTTTTGTCATTTTGCATTTACTGTATGTGCTGCCACTGCGGCTGTTCAATATGTTCAGGACACTGGACGAGAGATAGACCAGCTCTGTTCCTTCATCGGTTTGTCTCCTCCGGCCGAGAAGAAGGAAAGAATCGCGACTGGAGTGAAGTTTGAAAACATGAAACAAGACAAAATGGCCAATTATTCCACTGTTAAAGTGATGGACCACAAGGTGTCTCCTTTCATGAGAAAAGGTACGGTGAAGGAGAAATCTGCTCAAACCATAATCACTAATCTCATTATGTTTCCTGACTGAGACTCTGTGGCTCTGCAGGGAAAGTTGGTGACTGGAAGAACCACTTCACTGTTGCTCAGAATGAAGAGTTCGACGAAGACTACAAGAAAAAGATGAAGAATCCCACGCTGAAGTTTCGCACAGAGATTTAGAGGTCTGGCCCGTTTGCTTAATGAAACATTCCTGAACCGTTCTTTGATCAAATAATGTGAGACAGATGTTTAATTTCGATTTTTGGTAACAAGAAAATGATCTAATCAATCTGATAATAGGATCAATTATCGAAGCTTTACTTTGACTTCTATGAGCCTGATGTTTTACTGTGATGTTGATCAATTATTAATCAATCGATTTTAATTTTTGTTGCACATTTCATATAGAAGTAGTCTCAATGTATGTATAATATAGAAACCATTAAAAGAATGGGATAGAAAATGCATATTGACACTTCACTAGAGTAAAATAACCAACAGACATACACACTCACACACACTCTCACACACACACACTCACACACACACACACACTCACACACTCACTCACACACACACACACACACTCAAACACTAACCGTTAAGAGAGAAAATAAATGTTTGCTTTTAAAAGAAAGCACAGCTGCAGCAGATCGTTTTAAATGCATATTGAAACTCTGCACCAATGTAATAACCAAGAGCAAATGTATGACACACAAACACACCTCAACTACCAAAAGCATGAGAGAAAAAAAATGTTTTAAATTTGCTTTTGAAAGAAGAAGCAGTTGCAGCAGATCTCAGGTCAGTGAAAAGGGTCATCGCGACTCCGTGCATCATCACCTCGATTACTTTTGAGTCCAGCTACATTAAGGAGACACGTGCTTGATGATCTGACGGATCTGGTTGTGTTATAGTCTGTGACCAGGTAAGAAATGTATGTGGGAGCCATACCATTTAGGTCCTCGTACACCAGTGGTAATACTTTGTCAAACCTAATTTGATAGAAATGTACCGTATCTACTGTTAAGCTGTGAACTCATGGTCCTGGAAACAATCTAAATTAAAGGAACTAACTTTTGCATATTTTTCCACTCCGCCTGTTTCTTGGTTTAATTTGCCACTTATATAACTATAAATTATAGAAAGGTTCATACCTCTGCCAGGTCTAACACCATATCTTGGCATGTTATAAATTTGGTTCAGTGTTCTTCAACTAATAATAATAATGATAATGATACAGTTACATACAGTACTCATGTGGCCATTAATTACTGGCAGGAGTCAAGGCTTTTTAGTATTTGGGTCAGCTCTAGATGGCCTCATGTCAACATGGACCAGAGTCTCTTGATGTGTTCTATGCCACAAGGACTCAAAGCTGTTTTGAAAAGAGCAAGGAGAAAAACACTAAAATGTTTAAAAAGTGACAAAGTAAAAGCAGACAAACAGGAAAAGTTGTAAATAAACTAAAGCACTGCCCAGACTATGATCACAATAAATAGAGACAGGTTTTCAAAGAGAGGGGAGGAAGGACACACAGTTTCTTCACACATCATCAGCGATCGGAGGACAGGCTGAAGAATGTAAGTAAGGTATGTCTCTGGATCACTTGGTTTTCAAAGGTACTCATGTGATGTATTGTTTCCTGTTTTCAAGATATGCTCACTTTCCATTACCATGAAACTTGTGATCGGGAGTTAATTAAAGGAGAATTAAATTCATATTATGAGATCCGGCATTTTCCATTATTTTTTGTGAATTTTTTAAGAAATAATACAGATATTGGTGTGAAAACTCCTGCACATTTACAGAACTTATCTCAGCAATGTTTGTGACCATCTTTGTCAGAAATGTTTTCAGATTTCTCATAATTTTATCCACTTCCTTACTTCTGAACTCTGTACTCCTGTGTTCATAAGCCACAGTGTCCATTGTAGCACATGTTGTATATGGTGGACAAGAAAGCAGAGAAGAAAGAAAAAGATGCTGTTGGTGACTGGAGGAATCATTTTACTGGTCAACAGAACAAGTTAATCTTGAATAAAAATATTGTTTCTTGTGGCTGATTATTTCCACTCTTCCTGTTTCCATTTTTGTAACAAAACACAACCAAAATGACTGAAGAATAAGACAGTCAGGAGATTTTGAGGTTCCTCAATTTTATTTTGGATCCAGACACAAAATGCAGCAAGAAATACAAGAACAAAAGTTCAATGAGCAAAAGAAATGAATCAAAATAACACTGTACTCCTGTACTGCGTCTACAGACTGGAGAGGGTACAATGATTTGTATCTTCTATGGCACTTACTGCTTCGTAGAGGGGAGGACACTATGGGGCGCTGGAGGTACAGACCTGGTCATGAAGAAAAAGATGTAACAGCGAGTACTGGTGCACTGAAATCTTACATGTGCATTGGAATGTTGACAACACAAGGCCATTGTACTGCAAAATACTTAACAAGTCAAATATCTCACATCACTGGGAGGAGCTGCAAGTCACCCTGAGGTAACTGGAAAACAAGTCAGGGATTGGCGCTCAGTGGTAACAGAGGCAAGAGTTACGTTTTACTCCAAACTCCACTTGGGATAAAATGTCAAAATATAATAAGATATTCACACGAGCATCCAAAATAGTGTTTCAGTGAGCAGTCTTAGTTTTCAATAGTCTAAACCTTGCAACTTTAAATCTGAAGAAAGGGAAACACTGGCTTATTTTCAGGATAAAAGTGTTTTTTGTTTCTTTCTTTACCGTTGTAATCATTTAATGACAGAAAAAATAAAGTAGAAATCAAAATCCTGCAGACCATGGCCGCTAAATATGTTTTTGCAAAACCTGCATCATGATTACAATACTGAGCACAGCCCAGAAAGTCCTCGACATGCACGTCATGTATCAACTATCACGGCTCTGCATGTCCTCAACAGGCCACAATCTGATGTCAGAATAGAGCAACTTTCTGCACAAGCAATACATCAGATTGTCTTTCACAGTAACAACTATTAACTGTTTCAAATACACCTTTATTCATGAACATCAAAAAATAACTGTATTTACATTGTTGCTTATACATCGTATAGTTGAAAGATATTTTCCTCTAGAGTAGTAAAATACTTTAGTGCTCAGGCGTTCAGTCAAGTGCTCTGATAACGAGTAACTAGAACAGTTCCCAGGTTCATGCCAGGCCAGTCGCATGTGCTGCAGCCAGTGGTGCTATGTAACAAAGTACATTCACTTCGTTAATGTACTTAAATACATGTTATATGTAACTTAACTGTACTTGCGTAGATTTATTTAGTTTTTTCACTCCACTTCATATATCAGCAAATGTCTGTAGTTTCTACTCCACAACATTTTTACAATGCAAAGCTTAACACGTTCTTTTGTTTATTTTATTATTATTATGTGATAATAATAAAATTGGTCCTCTGATAGAATCAGAGCTGACAGGTGACATCAGATCATCTTAGAAAAGGCCACCGCCGAGACACAGCCATTAGTTATGCCTCATCCATGGCCGTATTTAAAAGAGATAGGATTTTTGAATCAGATTCAGATATACAGGCACAGTTAACGGTGTCTTCTTGCTTTGGGAAGATGCTGCACTCTGCAAGTACTTTTACTTTGAATAATTTAAGTATATTTAAATAAAAGTACTCATTTACTTTTAGTCAAGGAGAAATTTTGTTGTGGTACTTTTACTTGAGTACACTTTTGTCTATTTTTGTGTGTTTTTACTACAGCAAAATGTTTGAATACTTCCTCCAACACTGGCTGCAGCTCTGCAAAGCTGTGAAGCATCTAATTAGATAAAAGATCAAACTGTGTGAATCAACTCAATGTAAATGATTATGATTCATATTCTAAGTTAGATTCTGTAAAAATGCATTCAGAGGCTTCAGTTGTACATAAGTTGCAGGAGCTTTTTCTTAACAGCAAAATGTCACGATCAAATGCATTTACCTCACATGTGAATGCTTGAAATTCATTTTAGAACAGACAGTTTCAGCAAAAGCTAAAAGCCTGGGCAACAGTTTCACGCGTAAGCATGCCTCTGCATGTCTCTGACTGTTGTTCACCGCCTGCCTCTTTATGTAACCAGCTTCACATTGACATACAAGGCAGAATAGAAGACGACGACAACAACAACAACAGCGGCGGCAGCATGTTAAGAGCTTAGAAGTAGTAATCCATAGCTGAGTCACTATGATACTGGTATGACGCTATAGAGAATTAACCCAAACAATGGGTTTGTAAAACCATTAAAAATAGCACAGAACCAACCAAGGTTATTTATGGCACATCTTTACATCACAGAGCAAACTGAAACATGGAAGACGGAGAATAAACTTCATGAAAACAATGGAATTCACGACTGTTGACATGCAGACAGGTTTTCACAGAGACGATATAGAAATTGGAGCCACATTTCAAACTTACTGAAACTAATAATGTAAATAAAAATATGTTCATGTTGACAGATTTCATGATATGAAACTATACCATAGATTTCTTACTTGATGGTAAAATTGTATCTATAATCATGACAACCTCCACAGCTCCACACCTGCTGAACAGCTGCTCTCAGCAATAAAATGTGTGTATGGTCCCAGTGTAACTGAAGTGTCAATGTGATGCAGGTGTGTGTGTGTGTGTGTGTGTGTGTGTGTGTGTGTGTGTGTGTGTGT